CCCTCATTGCATACTCCTATGATAAAAATAATGTCCTAAAATATAATACTTTCAGACTATTCTCTCCCCCATAGACTTCAATGCCATAAACATATCATTTTTTTAAGAAAGCTTCCAGAGTTGCTATTGATGTAATGTTAAGTGAAAAGGCAGAATGCAAATTACAAACGCAGTGTGACCCCAGCTATTTATTTTTTAGAAGTATTGGGTTGAATTTTATGAAATTGCCCTTTTTTTTATAGAACAGAAGTGATTGAATTCCAAATATTCCATGCAATTAAGTCTCATCTATCTATGCATAGAATAAGACCGAGGAATCCATTGATGTTGAAATGGTTAACTATGGATGGTACATTGGTGAATGATTACTGTTTGCTTTTGTCTTTTCCTATATTTGTAATGTCTCTACAGTGAACAAGTGCTATTTTACAATCTGAAAAAAGGGTAAATAATTTTTTAAGGCACAATGATAATATAGGAGAAATGTGGCTGACAGCTATTCATCTGACAATGACCTTGAGGTTAGAATGGCCCGATTCCATGGGGTCACAGTCATATATTGCAAGAAAAACACAGTTTCAGAGATGTGAGGTAAGGGTTCAAGACTTAGGACTGTTACTCACTATCTGTGTTACCTTGGGAAAATTAGTTAACTACTCTGAGCATCTGATTCCTCATCTAAAATGGAACATAATATCTGCCTCGCTTCTTTGTAGGTAAAACATGTTGGCAGTTATTCTTGGCACTTAGGATACACGCTCATGTCCCCATTATCCTCCACTCTGCCAATCAGAGGTAGGATGGTGTTAGGTCTGAAGTAGATGCTAAAACTTTGGCTCCGTTCTTTATACTGTCAATGGAGTGCTGTGGGAATGGGCAGTCAGGCCGTGTTTGCAAGGTTTAGTCTGGTGCTGAGCATAATTTTTTCCAAGGCACATTCGCACATTTCCTAAGGATGGTCACTGTGTCTAAGGAAAAAAAAGTGGGTCTCTTAAGGCATATCTTACACAGATCTGCTGTCATTAATGTAACAAAAAACCCCCCTATTTCCAGATAGGATTTTTCCACAGTGTTGAAGTTAAGATTCCAAAATATATTTACTTGCTCACAATTTAATCTATAATAGTCACCAAGACCCAAAATTTGTTTTCTGGCCACTTCCTCCTGCTGCAGTTCACACAGTAAGGCATATCTTCTATTCTACCTGTCAATGATTCTAATATTTTTCTCTCCCAAGGTTTTTGTCTCTTTTTTTTTTCTTTTTACTTTCTTTTTGCATGCTTTTTTTCTCCAGAGTAAACAGAGAATCCTCCCTGGAGTTCTGGCTCAGACTTGTAGCCTCCTGAACTGTGAGATAGTTTCTGCTTGTGGTATTTCTGGTAGAACAGCCAGTCAGTATTGGGGGGAAAAGTAGCATCTGTGGAAACAGTCAGTGAGACGCAGGCCCTACACAATGGCTGTGGCAATGGGCTTTAGCACAGAAGAGACTGTGAGGGTGGTCCAGGACCAGGCAGAATTTCCTTCTGTTGTTTAAAATATTTCTATGAAGTTGTAGCTGGCTTGATGGCGCTTTCAGCAAGACTCTAAGACAATGATAAAAATTGTTCTGGCAGTAAGAGGTGACCTTTGACAGACTGGTTGCCACATGACAATGACATGACAATGGGTAACAGCCCATGATGGGGAGCCATTATGGTGTTTGGCACACTGTGATACTTGGGATTGTTGTGACACCAGTGCTGCATCAAATTCCATAATGATTACTCACGGTTGACAATGTTGGGTAGAGCTCACAGATTAAGACAGGCTTGGAAGCAGGAGTGGCATCCACTTCTGAAACATGCCTGTGGAAACGCTATGAACTTTGATAGAGGACAATAGTTATAGAATGAGGTTAAGGTTTTTGTTTACAGGGTTGCTACTCGACAACGCTTAACAACAATAATAACAGCATATAAAGACAGTTCCTTGTCTCCATTTTGGAGTTACGTTAAGTGGTGGACTCTGTACTATGGTGCTTTTCTTTTGGTTGAGGATCTATGTGGATTGTGTGGTTGTTTTTTTATTTAAGCCTCTTATTTAGAGTCAACAAGACCTCTCGGAGGGCCCTTATATATAAAAGTTGGGCCCAAGTGTTTGTATTTTAATCTCTTGTTACTATATTTTGGAGGAATATTCTTGTAAGTCATACAACACTCTGGTTAATTTGCAGTGCTGAGATAATCTGGATTTGCTGTTACACTGAACCTTGTGCCACTGGAGTCTTGCTACAGACAGCATGTAAATTAGTGGGTGTGGCTGTGTCCTAAGAAAACATTACTTTTTAAAAATTTTAATCTAATTATTTATAAAGTTTGAATATATTGTTTTTAAAAAAGATCCTTTTCATTTCCTTCACCCCACCCACACATCTAATTGTGCAACCCTATAACAGAACACATTTAGATAACAGAAATGGCAAAGGAGGTTGAGTTTTCAAGTAAGGAAATACAAAGGAAGAGGAACAGTTGTAAGCAGACACTGGTGATTGGGACATGGAATGTGAGAACCATGAATGTAGGAAAATTAGATATTGTTAAGGAAGAA